ACTTGTTTAGAAATAAATTTAAAGTACATACCTTGTTTAACAATATTCATAGTGGCTTTCAATTAATTACGTACCGTTTAACTCCATAATATACAGAACTACTATGAATGTTATTCTTTTCACTGATAAGATAATGATCGCAAAATTTATTTTTAGTGAAAATATTTGCTAACAAAAAACGCTGTTTATGAAAAATAATATATAGGATGGTTGAACATTGCTATAAGTATAAAATTACATATTCAGATATTAGTAAATTTTAACTTTTTTTTCGATTTTTGTCCATGGGACGAAGGACTGTGCGTCGTAACTCTGGCATAGCGCTATGTGAGCTAGAGTGTTGAAACTCGGAATGTAGATGTGGTTCTTCGAGCCAGTGGCGCATGCAGAGAATGAGTCTGGGAGGGGTAATGGCAATATTTAAATAAAGTAATAGATATAAATTAAATTTTCGCTCAAAGGTATTGTAACTATGAAAAAAAAATTTAGATTGTTCTGGATTTCTATTTTGATTGATATTATTAATTTATTTTGTGACAATTTTAATTTATACAGATTTTCTTATTTATAAATTTCTTCCTGGGAGGGGTAATTACCCCCATTACCCCTCCCGTATATGCGTTCCTGCTTCGAGCCCCATTTTTTCAAATAATTTTGGCGACATTTCGTGCTCTAAGAAACCACATCGTCAATGAATCAAATAAAAAAATCGTCCGATTTAAATTAAATTTGGTATGTCTATAGATTGGACCAAGGCCAACTTTACCGTGGACGACACGTAATAAATGTGGCATTTGATCTTTTGACGTAAGAAACGTTAAAATTTGATGTCGTCCGATCGCGATCAAATTTCAAATCAAAATCATCAGGATTTTCCGTAATTATGGGTCGATTGATACCAAACCGGCACGTCGATAGAGGTACCCAAATGGAGTCTTCAGACGGACTGACGGACATTTTAATACAAATTTTATGAACTACTTTATTACTAATTTATTACTTTTTCATCATTTCAGACTACACTTTTTCAAACGTGTCCTTCAAATCCTTCAATTTAATAAATGTTTGTAAGAAGTTTCACTTTCAATCTGCTTCACTCAAATATGCGCACATAATGCACACACAATTTTTTTTAAATACGGCCTTACATTTTTTTATTAAGAATTTTAAGAGTCATCTAAGGTACCAAAATTAATAATGGAATCACACCATGGAATCATCTGCTATAAAATATAATTTCTCTGTTAAATTATTCCATCCAATTTACTAGATTGCCCCAATAAGAGAATACATACACTTTGCATTTATTTAGCCCGAAGATATTACGAACAAAGTGGGTTGACTTGCGGCGATGGACAAAAAGAAAATGCAGTAAAACGTCGGAAACTTGCAGGAAAGTCACAGTTTTCCGTGCGTCCCGCGAGATTTTTCACAAAAAACTTTTAAGTCTTCTTGAACTTGATATACGACGTATAAAAATGAGATATATACATAGCGACTTTATTGACTTTATTATTTATATTAACTGACTCTATTATTTATATTAACTTTATATAAAAAAATATTTAACAAATTTCATAAATGTTCAATTTTTCTTATTTTCAATACTAACTCAAACTAATCATGTTTCTAAGTATACGGCAACGTATTCTACTATATATATTATAGATTCTATGACCTTATAGATCTATTGTGTCCCTCTTTCATGAGTTAGAACTCATCATACAGTCTCAGGGTTTTGACAAAAAACAGTATCTGAGACTGTTTTACAGAGATTAGTTCTACATCTCCGATTTCAGTAGTGTCGAAGTTTATGGCACGAGATTATGTTTGTTATATCGGCGCACTCAGTGATGAGGTGTTCTGTTGTTTCCCTATTTTTTAGTGATGGGATAACTCGAGCGAAAATTCGCTCGTGTACTCGATTATTGAAATAACCGACATCTCTCGATTATGAAGGAACGATGTAAGTGACGAGTTACGAGCGACGAACGCAAGCGATCCTAGAGTGGAATAAATTGAAATTCGATTTTTATGTGACATATACTCGATAAAAAGCCGAGCGATTTTCTACATACATTGCAGGGAGCAAATTTATACGACGCCGTATATATATATATATATTTATCTACAACCGTTTAATTATAGCGTTTTTACATCACTATTTTTTTAGTATTTCAGTTACGTTATAAGATTCATAACACAACTAGTGGTGTTATGAATCTATAACACAACTAGATTTTATAATAATGAAAAACAACTACGAACATCTAAATATATTAATTTTTGATACAAATTCCTACTACTAATTTTTATATTAATATTAATAACACACTTTTTACACTACTTCAAAACAATTTCTGCTGCTGATGATGATGATGATTATAGTGAAGGTCTAACTGAAATAGATTGGGCTGTTGATCGGATTAGCATGCTTCCTCAGAAATTCTTGATCCCAAAATGTGCTGCGCAACCATTTTCTTGTTTTCTTTTGATGTACCTATATATCACCTTGCGACGGAACTACTTCTCCAACCTCCATGACGCTTAACCATTAGTAGATCTGCCCCCGAGTACGCCAGCAATGAGGCAGATCCCCACCATGTTATAGGGGAGCGAAATCTGGGTGCCGTACCGCCGACACATGAACGCATTAAACAAGTTGCAACAGAGACACCTTAGACAACTCTTAAGAATCCGGTGGTCCCATCATGTCTCAAACGTATCGGTCCTTGAAAAAGGTAACTGCGAGAGTATTCAGAAAATCCCGCTTAAGATGGACTGGTCACGTATGCAGAATGCAAGAAAACCGCATACCAAAATATATGCTTTACGGTGGGCCTGTAGACGGTAAGAGGAGGCCGGGTGGACAACTCAAAAGGTTTGGTTTGGATATTTACATGCCGAATGTGTGGGAAGAGTCAGCTCACAATAAAACTCAATGGAGAAGAATTGTAAACTCAGTTAACAGCGACAACCAAAAAGTAAAGAGGCAACAAAGCAATGAGATTTTTGAATGTCCGGAGTGCGGTAGGCGGATAACATAATCTGATGCGTGTCATATACTCGTCAGCGAGTAATAGCTGTATGTATGTATTATGTAGATGTGCGTCTAAAAGCGTGTCCTGTATACTTCCGGTTCATTAAGGCATAAAAAACAAGCAATTTTTTTTAGTAAAAAAATGTGACAAATGTCATAGTTAAAGGTGTTAAAGGTGGGCGACTAATAAACGAAAATTAAAACAGCATTTTCTTATTTTTCGGTAGTAGATAAAACGTTGTACATGACACGTGCGTTTAAACATGATTACAACACTCGTCTGATTAGAACGACTCGGTCTACGACCGTAATCATGTTTATAAACACACTTGTGTTGTAAATAACTATTATCCGTTTCTGAGAAACAAAATTTTACGACCTACATCGACAATGCTTTGAAATAAACTAAATCAAGCGATCAAGCATCAAGCGAATCGCTCGTTGCCTGCTACTTGCCATTCAGCACGAAAGAATATGGGCCCTGCGCACGCAACTTATTGCTTAGCGCTTAGCTTTAACGAGTACTTACAACAAGCGACGGACGAAAATCCGTATTTTTAAATACGAGCGATATTACTCTCGAGCGATCGCTCGGTTATTGCAATCGCTTGAAACTTGAGTACTCGATTATTGAAATTAATCGGTTTTTCCCATCACTATTATTTTTCCTACATAATCACCATTTGCCGTTGTTTCTTAGCTTCAATCTACTGAGGTTTTCATTGAGATTTGAGTCCGAAGATTGTTCTTACTCAAATCAAGGAAAATCTTCGATTTTCCTCGGGCGTAAGTCCTGAGAGTTTTTTCGAGTATCTTAGACCATTGGATGATTCCCACTCCAGGTTAGGGATGTAGTCTTCCCGGTCCTTGAGTTCTGCTTTATGTTGGTTTCTGTTTTGGAAGCAGAACGGTTCTGGTCCAGTTAATGGAGTGTTCGCTCCTTTTCTAGCTGGATCATTTGAATTTTTATTATCATCTATGCCGTATAATAAATAATATTTAATACATAAAGAATTGTTTTGCATTTTTTTACGCCTTAAGTTTTTGATGAGCTCTTATTTTTATACTTAATTTCTATAAATACTTCTAAATAAAAAAAAATACTACCTAGAATTAATCCATTTCCATTGAACTGATGTTGTAGAGAGGTGATATGTAGGTCTCCATAGCAACTGACGAGTAGCGTACCGTAAATCTAAAATTATACAGTAGGGTGCATATTTAATTTAGCAGCACTAAGTATAGGAGATACCGTGATTTATTTTAGGCACAATGTCAAACAGCATGATTAGGGTTAATTGATTTTAAACCAAATTATTCACAGTATTTTTAGACACCTATAAATATGATATAATGTAAAATTCCATATGATCCAATCTTTTAGTGTGCAAATAGTTTTAGGGGTAGTATATTTTGACTCCAGAAACATGATTATGAGGTTTTCTTCGCGAAATTTTTTTTAATTTTGGATTTTTTTTACTTTTTAGTAAAAAAAAACATAATTTGTTGATAATATGGCAACATAGGTAGTAGATTAAATGTGGTAAAAGTGGTTCTCAAAATTTTTTTAGAAAAAATATTTTTTTTTTGGAAATTTTCAAAATAAAATAACTCGGTAATTTTGGCTTTATTTGAAAAAACCGTAAAGAGAAAATACTATGTTTCTTTTATCGAGATCTACTAGCCCTGAAATATTAGCACTTATTTAAGATTCACCCTGTATATTTAAATAAAAAGTGGAATTTTTGAAACGAATATCATTATATATGACATTATCGTCTAGGCTGGTCCCTTTATGGCATTTATTAAATATGTTTTCTTAGTGGTTCTTTTGAGACTAAGAAACATGGTTTTGATGTCTCTATAATAAAAAAATACAATTATTAGTGTTAAACTATATTAATTTTTCAGTAATTTTTTATTTATTTTTATTATGTCTTTTTATTGTCTATTTTTTTAGGAAAACAGAAAATAGACATGATGCTTGCTTGATAGCGCAAGAAAAGATGCATCCAGTATGCGCTCAACGTATCGAAGAATCCCCACAGCCTACTTGTCTACATCTAGCAGAAAATTGCAAAGAAAATAATGCATGCAGGTAAACTACATCTTTTATATAAAACTTATGGTTAATTTTTATATTAAACATGAAATAAATATAAGTTATTATAAAGTAGTGTCTGTTAACAGAGCTAGTTTTTCTTGATTGATACTAGATTAATCAGAATTTTAACAGTTTTCAATATCTTTTTGGTAAAAAACATAATAATACATTTAGTGTAACTACAGTTTACTCTAACGCTAAAATGCACAAACCGCATATAAAGATGAATCTAACAATAATATTCCGCCAAAGTTGTAAGCAGAATTAAAAAAACATTTTTGAAGACACAAATCCATATATATTATGTTCAATAAACTTATTTTGATTATAAAAATACTTAGTAGTTCTAGATCCACGGAACATTGGTACACATTGTATTTTTGTAAGTAAAAAAAAGGTTAAACTATTACAAATATTACTTTATATACAAAATAAATATAATGATAAACATTTGCACTCGGCTATATGTTATTTGTTAAAATTAACAGACAGAACCAGCTCTGTTCTATATATACTCGAATATAAGTCAACTATTATTATAAAGCTGAAATGCTTAATATTTCAAAGGCTTTCTCGTGGTGTCAAGCATAAATGAATAATTCTGAGGTCTGTTTAATGCAATTCTTATTAGGTAATGTAAATGCAGAAACAGGATTGCTATAAAATTGCATTTCGCGATATTAAATATCAACTTCCGAATTACGTCTCTAACATTTTGTTGGGTTGTAGAAGTAAAGAAATTCGACTTGTAGAGATAAAAATACATAGTAAAATTTTAAAACACAAATTCCTTGCTAAACATATTTGAGTAAAGAGAATTTACTATAGTGTGTCCACCGACAAGATCCTTGACAGTGATAGATGTGTCAGTCATTTTAATTTAAAGTAGTTTATTTTATTTTACAAGGAAATAAGTTTGTACAACTGGAACGCATAGCAGGAAATTAATATATTATTTAAAATTTGACTGATAAGTGATTACTTCAAAATATTGTGAAAAAAAATGTATAAAACTGAAAAAATGTATTCGAGTTATTTTATTTAAAAAAACGGCATGTGTTAATACAAAACAAACAAGAACAAAACACCACATACCAAAAAAATATAAAAAAGAACTATTTCTTACATTCAAGCTTCAAGAAACTTCCCGCATTTATTATTATATTTATCAATATAACTTATGTACAAATACAAATTTGTAATATTCAATTACCTCTGCAGTTTGATTTCGGAAAAGATCAATATCGACTCTGAACTTTAGCACAGGATTAGCAGCGCCTCAAGAGCGTTCTTAAAATTAAAAGACAAGGTTTTCTACAACTATGACTTGAACACAAAAACGAAACTGGCATTGTACCGAGCAATAATAATTCCCACCATGTTGTATGGGAAACCTGGCTGCCGTACCGCCGACACATGAACGCATTAAACAAGTTGCAACAGAGACACCTTAGACAACTCTTAAGAATCAAATAGTTCCATCATGTCTCAAACGTATCGGTCCCTGAAAAAGCTAACTGCGAGAGTATTGGAGTTATGGTTACAAAATCCCGCTTAAGATGGGCTGATCACGTATGCAGAATGCAAGAAAACCGCATACCAAAATATCTGCTTTACGGTGAGCTTGTATACGGTAAAAGGACGCCGTCGCCGGGTGGACAACTCAAAAGGTACAAGGACATTTTCCACAAGCAGCTCATAATAGAACTGAATAGAGAAAAATTGTAAACTCAGAGAACAGCGATACAAAAAGTAGAGGCAACAAAGCAACGTAATTTTTGCATGTCCGGAGTGCGGTAGGCAGATAACATTACGTATCGGGCTTTTCAGTCACAGAAAGGCTCATGAAGGAAAGCGCCTGACCATCTTCTGATGCCTATCAAATACTCGCCAGCGAGTAATGGCAGTATGCATGTATTTATTAGTCATCATACAGTCTCAGGGCTTTGAAAAAAGTCGGTATCTGAATTGGCTTTACAGAGCTTAGTTTGACATCTCCGATATCAGTCGTACCAAACTTCATGGCACAAATAGTTGTCGTCTCGGCACACTCAGTGTTTCCCCATTTTTCCCACAGAATGTTCATTCGCCGTTGTTTCTTAGCTCCAAACTACGGAGGTGCTCATTGAGGAGACAGTGTCCTGTTAAAGAAAAACCATGAAAATCCGAAGATTATTCCTACTTAAATCAAGGAAAATCATTGATTTTTCTCGGTCGTAAGTCCTGTAATTTGTTCTGATGGCAGAAATTTCTTCGAGTGTCTTAGACCGTTCGAGGATTCTCATCCAAGTTGCGGATGGAGGCTTTCAAATTCTTGAGTTCCGCTTTAAGTTGGTTTCAACTTGGGAAGCAGAAAGGTTCTGGTCTAGGTAGTGGAGTGTTTGCTCTTTTTCTAGCTAGATTGTTTGCTTTTTCATTACCTTCTATTGTTTTGGGTTGGCATCCATAGTAGGAAGACTTTATTTTAGTAATACTTCCAGATAGAGAAGTTTCTCTGAAGTAGTAAAAAATTCTAAATATTTTTAAATTAATTTAATTTGATTGATTTATATTTAATTTAAAAATCTTATGCCTTTTTAGCGTAGAAATATACTACAAATTACTTAAAAAACACCTTGTATACGTATAAAAAAATCTTATTTAGGTCAAAAAATATACTGAAAACATATATTTTTTCCATGATTTAAAAAAATCTAATTCTCATTACTTTAATTCAATTTACAAACTGCAAGAACTTTTCCTAAACACAAATGATTGATCTGATAAATGTCACATTGACGATGGCTTTAACTTGGTTGGGACTAATTACCTCATAGAAGTTAATCACCCAAAGGAAATTTAATCATGCAAAGTGGTGATTTTGTCCGCCTATTTATTATTACCTTCAGTTGTTACAAAAATTAATTTAATTTAACCAAATAATTATAAATAAGAAAACCATAAAATTGACTGCATTTGAAAATAATTAAGTACTATTTATTTAAATAGTAGAAACTGTGTATTTACACAGTTTCTCTTTACATAGTATGACTTTTTTATTTTTTAAATTTCTCTTGAGTAAATAAACTTGCCACAAAGATGTAGACGAGTAAATAAACTTGCCACAAAGATGTAGACCTTACTCATCACTTTTTTTTGTTTTCATAATAAAATATTGCTTATGGAGTCGTTAAAATCAAATACCTTTTTGAATCATAACTCAGTTGGTTACGATTTACACTTTCTTCTGGGCAAAATTTTATACAGACTGGGTCTTAAATAAGTACAAATATTTTGATTTATTCCCAAGTGAAAACCAACTGCAAAACTCGGGAACATGGAAGACTCCAAGACGTATTGCTGAAATGTTTTATCAAGAATTTTTATCAGACTTACTTACGACAAAGAAAAATCAAAGACTTTCCTTGATTTAAGTGAGAACAATCTTTGGACTGTCACGTAGTTTTTAACAGGACACTGTCTCCTCAATGAACACCTCAGTAGATTGGATCTAAGAAATGACGAAAAATGCAGATTCTGTGGGAAAAATGGAGAAACATCAGAACACCTCATAACTGAATGCGCCGAGACAATAACCATAATTTTTGTCACAGTACCGTTGTGCCATAAACTTTGGTACGACTGATATCAGAGATGGAGGACTAACTTCTGTAAAACCGTCTCAGATCCTGGTTTTGTCAAAGCCCTGAGACTATATGATGAGTAATAACCTAAGAAGAGGCAAAACAATAAATTTATAAGGTTGATGTTAATTAATTTTCCCTGGTTAACAATCAGCTAGACATCTTGGTTCAAATCTATTTATTGTACCCTTAAATTACTTCTTTGGAATTCAAATTATTAATATTTACTACTGTTTAATACAACTTTAGAAATTTTATGATAATAATTTTAGAATAAAATTGGAGAACTATGAACAAAGCTGCGCTGTAGACAGCGTAACGAAGAAATGCGCAGGTTCAACAACTGAATGCAGGAAATCCATAATGGCGATCTTGGGAACTGACTTACGAACAAGTTGTGCCTGCAAAGGCACAGATATGAGTCAGCTGTACGAATGCTTAGGTTGGCAACGACTTCTGTGGGTAAATCCGTGTGTTGGTAAGATCATTTTATTTACTATAATTGTTTATCTAATCTAATGTGCTTCCCGCCCATAACAATTTTTAAATAAGAACCTTCTGGCATTTATGTCACACACTAACATTCCAAATCTTTTTTTTTGTTTAAAAAAATAATTATTGGTGAGCCACTTTTAAAAAATACCCGTTATAGATTTAGCTATTGTTTTCACTTTTCAATTTGAAAATTACTGTGTTTAATGTTGGTAATTACTCTGCAATATAAATATGTTCAGAAAGAAGGGTAACATGTTCTGAATAACTATTTGTTTTCATTTTTTTTCTTCTTGTTGTTATCAATGATCTCAAAATTCTCATTGCCTCCAGAATAATAAAAAAAGAGAAACTTCAGAGCAAAATTAAAAAAGTAACTGATGAGTGTCCAACCTTTTTTCTTTGTGTTAAGTATAAGTTCTTGATTTTTGCTCTTAGTTATTTCTCCAAAAAAGCATTGTCAAGCATTCTACAACACTATAAATAGGTAATTATAGTCTTTTGTGATCTTTAAACCTAATTTTTTTAATAGTTGAAGCGCAGAAACACTTTCACGTGAAGAAAGCAGCCGAACAAAGCAGGTTAATGCCTCATACTACGCGATCCACCACCACTACAACCACAACAACAAGCACCACCACCATGAAAACAACAACCCCGAGCATCACAACACCTCCACCACGCGTTCACTTGACAGCTGTCAAATCGATGACGGATGAAGCTTCGATCACCGTGATCACAGCCACAGAGTTTTTGCCGCCTCCTCAGGCTTTTGTGCCTACTTCAACTGTGAGTCTGCCTTCGACTAGTACTAGCACAACCATGAGGACTACTACAAGGAGAACTAGGCCTACAACGACTACAACCACTGCACCTCCAAGTAAGTTTTATTTTTTTTTTTCATTCTTGTATTGTAAAACACATTTTTACATACTTGGTTTCACTCTGGAAAATAATATTTTTTAAGGTTAATATGTTCAGTATCGGTTCTTGAGTTCCGCTTTAAGTTGGTTTCCACTTGGAAAGCAGAACGGTTCTGGTCCAGTAAGTGGGGGTGTGTTCAACAATGGTAGTAAATAAGAACTCCCCTTTTCGGAATTCAGTTTCTGAACCCGAAAATTCAGGCAATTAATATTTAGTTACAATTTACATGTTTTCTAATGTCTGCATTTGTTAAAACTTAAGTAAACGGGTATGTTTTACATAATTGCTCATATGATATCCAATTTTTTTTTCTCATTTTTCTCGTCAAACATTAATTGGGGTAATATAATACCCCACTCGAGTACTTACGTAGAAAAAGGTGGCGGTTCTGTTAGGAAGGTTAAGATCTTCTCAGAGACAATAGCTGGCCAACACATCTCTATGGTACAGAAGTTCACAAGAGACAGGCGTAAAAGTTTATAGGAACATTCTCCTCAACTCACGGCATGGTGATTAATAACAAACATTCTACATTTTACAATCCATTTTTGATATACATTCAGTGCACTAGGGGCATTCCATAATTGTATGATTCCATTCCTGAAATAAAAATAACACCCTCCTTTGCGAGTTTTGGTCCTTGGAATGTTTCAATACGGCGTCCGGCAATAGTGCGTCGGGCATCTGTAGCTCCTAGAATAAAAACCTTGGGAATTTTGTTTAAGTGCAAACCTAAAGTATGTACTAGGATGTATTTCAGGAAAATATTTGAACTTTTATAGGGTAGCTCAAAAAAGTGTGAGGGCATCGGGATGATTTTTTTTAAATGGGGCGCCTTGTGTATTATTGCATTTTTGGCTTCCTTTCAGATCACGTTACATAATTATAAGATATGAGTAAATATATTTAGATAATTAATAGAGGTATTAATAAATAAATAAAAAATAATTCTCTTTTATTAAAGTTCAGGAAAGCATAGTTAGATTCTCTGGAATAGTGATCGGGGTTTTCTCTGTCGTGCTCTTTTACTCGTGAATTCCAGGCACTCCATTCATTTCATTTAATAAAATTAGTTAATTTAATTTAAACTTAAATTTCCCAAAATTTTGCTTCTGTCAAGGCGCGTCCGAGGTAATCACAATAAAAAAATATTTTTAACACACAACGTAGGTTTCCTTCTTTCATTTAAGGCCAAAATATTACATTCTTCAACTTTGTTGACGAATTTGGGTTGTTGTACTACAATAAAACAGCAATTGAAATAAACCAAAATACAAACCTGTTAGAGCGACTTTAACATTACCGAAATAAAACTTCTTATTTTTCTTTCAGGATCTTGCATTGTACAGAGACCGCAGATTCCGGACCAGTTCATAAGGGAGGGCAGTTTTAAAAGGGTGAGTACGAACGAGATACAACACGTTTTGGCGCAAAACTGCCCTTAGTTTAAAATTCCCGACGATGCCGTAGTTCGAATTGAAATTTATGTACAAGACCAAAAGGCCAGATAGTTGCAGTAGCGGCAAAAGTTTACTCGCTTTATTTGCTTAATTTTTCACGAGCAACAGCCTTTTACGTCTAATAGAAACTTAAACAAGTAAATTATTCGGTGAATTTTCTAGTAGTTATAATCGAGTTTTCTAATCCTTCTTTGTTTAACTTGTGTGCTCGTTGTTTTCTCTGTTTAGTCTTGCAGGAAAGTCATTTTTGGTTTCTGTGTTATTGTCTGAGACAAAATTTTAAAAGTTAAAACTAAAATAATTTCGGACATCTGTTGTCTTTATTGATTTCTTCTTATACAATGTATCGTTCAGATGTATCACCGTTATGAAGTGTGAACTAATATAAATCCTAAACTAAAAATATACTTTACTTTTTTTCTACTGAGCTTACCTCGCTTGTTTCTCAAAAGTGAATGATAATAGATAGATATTGATATAGATAGTGAACACTGTAACATATTTTTTCACATAAAATTAAACGAGATTTGTTAGCATATGACATAAATTAGAATTGACTGACGTATTCAATTGTTTTCGGTCACTTCCTTAGATGGAACCCTCTATATTTTTTTACTTTATTCGATAGAAAATTATACTCTGAATAGAATGACATATAATATGTCAAATTTTGACATTTTCGCTTAAAAAATCGTATTTTAAATTTCAATCTAGAGTGCTGGTTGTGCTGAGATTATGGTTGTGTTAAAACATTAGTTTTTATTCAATGAGCCTCGGGAGAATAGACTTGATGGTCTAATGTTTTCCGTGTATTTTTCTGGCTGCTTAAAATATGCTCAAATCAAATTATTTTTAATTATATCTCAATTTTTTCAAATGGAACGAGGGTGGCTAATTAGCATATTTGGAAAAAGTTTTTTTGAACGAACAAATTAGTACGACACACATGGTAATTCGAGTCAAATTGTCGTTATGAACCATCATACACTACATTTCAAATAAAACATATGCGAAAATGGTAACATACTCGTATGATAATACGTCATTCTATTCAGTGTGTAATTATCGAATAAATTTAAAAAAAACTGAGGGCTTTATTTAAAAATCAAAAGTTGTAGTAAGTCCCACAGGGGTGAAACAGGAAGTGACCGGAAACAATTGAAGTCTACAGGGGAAAAACGATCTAAGTCACATTTTCTTACTTTTGAGATAAATGATTTTGAAACTTTAAAGACCAAAGGTTTTTATCAATAGTTATATGTATAGACATTAACTGATTAACAGACAAAACAAAGAAAAATAATTTGTAGCAAATTTGTTAGATAAAATAAAACTCGTATTCGCTTGGTTCAATGGAAAAGTGATCCAAATCCATATGGAATAATTCTGCATGTGGTTACTCTGAAGATTACTCATGCTGGAATAAAAAGAAAAATATGTTTTTATTCTCATTTTTATTATTAATATTGTTATTATATTTTCTTAATATTTTTTTATTTATTTCTTATTTTTATTATTATTTTTTTATTAATATTATTAGCATTAGATTATTTTTTACTTAGGAATGGCGATTTGCTTCTGATAAAATGAAGCTACACTACTAGACAGTTCCCTTATGGTTCCATTAGAACCCCCCATTTCCAGAATTTAATTTCTTTGAATTTAATACTAGTGACACAATAGACATAATCAGACTTCTTTTCTTAGGCAGAAATAAAAGCAATATAGTTTAATTGATATTACTCACCATATCTGCATCGTTTAGATGAGCAGTGTTTGATGCACAAGGCAAATTTGTGTAGTAGTCTTGCAAAGATTCATCTACGAACTTTTTCAAAAATTGTAACTGCTCATACTTGAGTTTGGGCAAAGAAATTAGGTCAGCATAAAGTTGTTGTGGTGCTGAATATATAGCTATTTTTATTCGTTTTGTATGAGTTGATATGTTTACAAACATGAAATATGGACTTGGATCCATCTTGGATCGGTCTTCCGTGAATTCACGTGGACTTAGATTGCTTTTTCAAAGTATTAATATTTTAATCGCTGATTTTATTGGACTTAGATCATTATTTCAGTGTTACATTATTCCTATTTTGGAACGGATACTTGATGGTCATAAGATGGCAGTGTTATCTCAATTTCCATTTTTTGGACTTTAGTTAATTTTTCTTAGTCCGTTTTTCCCGTGTAGTCTTCAATTGAATACATCAATTAATCCTAATTTATGTCATAAACAAAATAAAAATGTTATAGGGGTGAGTCACACCTTTGAGAAACACCCGGTATACTAGAGCAGATAATTCACAAGATTGGGTGTGTTTTATAAGTGGTTGCCATATTGTAGAAATTTCCATATTTAGATGACTAAAGATGTTATTATTACTAGAAATGAAGAGTTTTTTAATTTACACTTTTTCCAATGAGCTCTCTTGTGAACAACACGGGCTTCTGATCATTGATGTTGTGGTGCTTGGATTCTACATCGTTTGCAATACTTCATTGTTTCACCTTTTTGTATATGCTTTTTATATTCAATAAGTAGATTTAGAGGGAGTTTTATCTCTCCAATATACGACTCACCACATTCACAAGGTACCTGTTTTTGTTAAGACGCTTCTTAGAGTCGTTCCAGTTTTGAAGACAGTTTTTTGTTACATTGTTTCTGATGTTCCTGAAAAAAGAAAGAGCACATAAGACTGGTACATTAGTGCACCAGATGACTCATGGTAATTAAAATTAAGCCTATACGTGTTAATACTATTTAATTCTACATTAAGTGATAGTTCGTCACTGCGTATGATGTTTGCTCGATGATATAAAGTAAATGTTTCAAACTAAAAGAATTTTGGACTTTCATTGTCTTTATTTATTTTGATTAACTCAACGTTTCTTATACCGTATGATAAGAAAAAAACGGCGTCCAGTTGGCTTGGAAATGACGTACGGTAATATACAGGGTGCTACAAAATCGAGGTACGAGCATTGGTATCTCGGAAACCGTACTAGATACAAAGATGGTTAAATTGGGGCAAAATTGCACCTTGGGATGTTCACCAAAATGCCATGAAAAAAGTTTCAAAAATTTCAAGGATTGCTGAGTTTTTTGAAAAAAACTGATTTTTTTGGAAATCTATTTTATTTTTTCCTGTCGTTGCTTTTTAGAAAATCAAAAAACTAATCACATTCTCATAGCCACTTTATTAGGGCTATCTGATAGTATTTTTAGATTTTCAAATTAGCTGATAATTTGTGAGATACAGAGGCTTACTTAATTTTTTTAAATACGGACCTGCATTTTTTATTTCAGGTTTTGAAAGAACTCGGTCTCCTGAGTACAATGATATGCCACACTTAATATTTTTTTTTGTCTTGACATTTGAACACAATTTATTTAAACTAATTTCAAGTACGTCTCTGTTTTTTTTTAAATATTTAATCTATTCGTCGTTACAGTATTGATAAGCTTTCAAACTTAACAATGTGGGGTAAAATATTGTTTACGGAAAATCAAATGCAATGTAATAATATAAAATAATTAATATAAATATAATATAATATAAACAATCAAATCATTTTCCCGGAAGATGGATTGGAAATGGTAGAGCAGTATAATGACCAGCGAGGCTCCTGGACCTATAGCCAAGGCGCTACATTACTTGACGTCATTTGTAAAAGTGAAAACAATTCATCTCAACATTTACAATAAAGAGTAGGTACAAAATGCATTTGGAAGTTTAAGAAGAAAGTTCAAAGAGCTACAAATAAAATTGAACGAAAAATAAGTTTGTCCTGTGGTTTGTGCAATAGGGAGGGTGGTAACCCTTTCGAACACGTAGAACATTGGAAACTAGTTTGTAGAAGTTGATTAATTTATAATAACTACGTTTAATATTATGCATATTATTAGATCGCACACTGAGATTTCAAATTCACAATAAAAAAAGTTAAAAATAATATCTTTAAATTTCTGACCTCGATATTATTTATTTCAATATTTCAATTGGCTCGATTTTCCTTATTCAATGTTAATTAGCGCTGATCAATATAGTTGCAATGAATATAATCAGATTAAATAATTTTAGAAACCAGAGTCGGCCTTGAATTTTTTTTAAATAATAATTAAATAGTTTTGTTGCTGTTAAGGTACCCAAAACAAAAAAAGTATAAATTGTGGCATATCATTTTACTCAGGAGACCGAGTTCTTTCAAAACCTGAAATAAAAAATGCAGGTCCGTATTTAAAAAAATTAAGTTGGCTTCTGTATCTCACAAATTATCAGCTAATTTGAAAATCTAAAAACACTATCAGATAGCCCTAATAAAGTGGCTATGAGAATGTGTAATTAGTTTTTTGATTTTCTAAAAAGTAACGACAGGAAAAAATAAAATTGATTTTCAAAAAAAGCAGTTTTTTCCAAAAAACTCAGCAATCCTTGAAATATTTAAAACTTTTTTGACGGCATCTTGGTGAATATCCCAATACGCAACTTTGCCCCAATTTAGCCATGTTCGTATCTATTACGGTTACCGAGATACCAATGCTCGTACCTCGAATTTGTAGCACCCTGTATAGTACTATAGCTTTATAGTATTTTTTATAAAAGACGCTTTTAGATGTTTCCAAGTATAAGGAGGGGAGTAATTTTATTAAATACTCATTCGATTAATGAAAAGTAAAATAAATTACTTCATAGAGACTCAGAAGGTAGACGCTTAAATTACCTCGAACAGTTAGAAATATTAAAAACAGTAAAAAATGGCACAAAGTTAAACGACCATCAAGAATTTTTACACATGTTTACTGCCCCTGTTGTAAAAACTCTTTGAACCCACTCTCTTAGCAAATAATTTTCGATACATTTTAGTGAGGTTTACGTTTAGTTTATTAAAATACTAATGTTCAAACAATGTTTTACAACAAAGACTCAACCACAGATTCAGTACGATTTAGCTTTCTTACTGCAGTTGTAACTCAACTTTTGTTAAAAAAATGAAACTACGAATTAAGAAAAAATAATTTAAAATCGATAAAAATGGAAGTTAATTGTAACATGTCAAAGACATCGACCAATTTGCGATGGCAAGACCGGTCGTAGACTCAGACTAAATCCGAATTTAGTTTTTGCGATCAAAGGCTTTCTCTTTTCTACACCGGTCCGGGCAAAAAGTAGTCGATTTGCTTTTTTTCTTTCCAATTGGAACGCCTTTCCACGAAATTCGGGAGAAAAAAGTGGAGAGATAGAAACAGGGAATAGATTGGCTGGGCGTCGAAGTAGAAATTGGGATTTGACGACAAAAATCTCTCTGAAATTTATTTGGTTATTTGATTGAATAGGAACAACAAATTATTGGATGACATATGCCATATTGCTCTTGTTATTTTTGTTTGATTGAATCGTTATTTTTATTAGCATAAAATAAAAAAGGATTAATAAAATACAGCGTGGTCCGAACTGTAAATTCGGCAGCATGTTCTGCAGATAAAAATAAGTAATAAAGTTCGTATAAATGTATGTCCTAAGATGTTTAGTTTCGGAGATACAGGGTGTAGAAATTTAATTTTTATTTCAATTTTTTCCAAAAAATTTCTGAAGTAACGTCAATATTTCTATGAAAATTGGCGTCTTGATGGTTTTTAACACCATTTTTTTATTTTGATGTCAATATGACTCTTATATGTAGGGGGCGCCACCTACATGTATGTTAACTGTTTTGAAGATAATCACTTTTCGTCCGTACATATATAACATTACTGAGTGAAAAAAATATACAGTAGTACAAAATATATATATGTATATATATAATTTTCGTGAGTTTTTACGTAAAAAATGTCTCTCGGTAAAAATCGCTACGAGCAACCGTTCTCAAGATATTTAGAATGGAAATAGTCAATACATGTAATTATTGACAAAAAATAACTTGATGTTGCTCATGCCTACTGTTGACTGCTTTCAAGTACCTCGGACACCACTTTGGGGCTACCGGCATTCGGAAACCTTGTTATGAGAGGGCGGTTTTATGGCTGCAGCATGTAGAGCGCGCTCCTCTGAAGCCGGATCAAAAAATGGTTCTATTGCGGAACCATTTGATTCCAAGACTTCAGTATGGCCTGCAAAACACCAAGGTCAATGGAGCACTCCTAAAAACCGTTGATAGGTTGATTAAGGCGTCCGTTAAAAGATGTCTTCATCTGCCTGTCCGGACCCCGGACAGCGTAATACACGCTAAAGTCCGGGACGGAGGCTTGGGAATACCTCAGTTGCGAAAGGTAGTTCCGTGGACGCTTCTCAAGCGTTTATCGGGGCTGCTGGACAAAACCGAGGACCCGATCATCAGCTCAGTATTGCAGTCGGACCGTTTTCGTAATATCATGGGGCGCTTGCAAAGACTGGCAGGGGAAATCCCCGCTGATCAAAAATGGAGAGAGGCCATAACATCTGGTCCAATGACTTCCGGCTCACAGATCGCGGTTGAGGACCCGGCTAGCCGTGAATGGGTGACTTGTCGTCCTCATGGCTGGTCGGGCCGAGACTACGTCAGGGCTATACACCTTCGAACCAACACCCTTCCCTGTAGAGGGCATCCGTCGAACCCACCGGACCAGCGGCGGTGTCGTCATCTAGACTGCACAGCCCAGGAGACGATTTCTCATATTCTCCAAGCCTGCCCCGCAGTGCATGGAGAGAGAATTCGTCGGCATGACGAGGTTGTCAAGCGAGTGGCGGTCCATTGCAGATCGAAGTGGCAGGTAGAGACGGAGCCGCACGTACGCCATCCTGATGGAAGGCTGTACAAACCCGACTTGGTCATCCATAAAAACGATGGTACGTCCGTCGTTTGTGATGTCCAAGTATCGTGGGAAGGGGTGGATGGCCTTGGCAAAGCCTGGGCTAGTAAACGCGCGGTATACGGAAACCCGCACTTCATCGAGGCAGCGAACCGGAGATGGCGCTCACGTACACTCGTCTTCATGCCCCTCATCATCGGGGCGCGTGGTATTTGGCCACGATGTAATGCTCCCACCGTTCAGGCCCTAGGACTTACCAAACAGTTGAAATCCAACTGTGTCCATGGTGTCTTGAAGTGGGGCTCGAGCATTCATCAGACCTTCATGAAGCGAGTGTGGGCTCATCACTCTCGAAACGGCACGTGAAAGGCGCTGCAACCTGGGGCGGTTGCACCAAGGACTCAACACTCAACAGCTACTTACAACTCAGCTACTCAACACTTTGAGTAGATAGTTATTTGACTCAAATGATAAATTTGTGAAATTTTTATTTTTTCAAATTAATCATAAACTTTTCTTCGATAAAAATGATGATAAAACAGTTTTTGTTTTGACAACTTTTGACACGAAAACATTTCCATTTTATGATTTCAGTATAATAACTATTTAGTAAACATGTTTATGTCAATGATGACAGGTATTAATAATTTCGATTCCAAATATCTCGAGAACCATAACTCGTTGCGATTTTTACCAAGAGACCTTTATTACGTAGAAAACATCGCAAATGTATATTTTTTTACTCAGTAGTTTTATACAAGTACGGACGAAAAGTTATTACTCTTCAAACCAGTAAAAAAATAATGTAGGTCGCGCCCTCTACAAGTAGGAGTCATATTAGCATCAAAATCAAATTTTTTATGTCCAAAAACTCCTAGACGCCAAATTCCTTTGAAATATTGACGATACTTCATAAATTATTTGGAAAAAATTGAAATAAAATTGAAACTTCAATACCCTGTATCTGCGAAACTAAGCATTTTAGGACATACTTTTTTACTTATTTTTATCTGCAAAATATGCTGCCAAAGTTTCCGGAATATAGTTCGGACCACCCTGTATAATAAATGCAATAGAGATACAATAAATCTGCTAGAGTAACTGCCAACAACTAATAATATGACTTTTCAGTAGCAGTTCCATTACATAAACTATAAACACTATTTTATAGGTGTGTTGATTAAGACCAAAATCGATGACGTGCTTTACTACTAAAATTGTTATTAATTGTAACAGTTACAATTTTTTCTTCCACTAGGAGATGCGAGACTTTGTCGTTGGTGGGGAAGCTTTGTCGTTGGTTAATCATTTGCTAGGAGGAATCTTCTCTAGCACTTTAGCTGGGTCTAAGAGCATCTCACTGTCTTATCCCTGGCTGTAGTGTCGTGGCCAGGGAATTAAAGCAAGACGTATAACGATGCCGCATGGGACTACCCTGTCCATCATACCAAGCACCCTTCACTGACTGTGATCATGTATCATGGTCAGAGGGTGTAGGGTGTGGGGCTTGGAGGGCTAAACCCTAACCGTGGAAGGACACAAAAGACACAAGATCGCAGTGATCTTGTGTGTGACCCCTTCCACTTATTCTACATTCCTCTAAAAAATACTTTAGGTTAAAGTATATCAGTATATTGACAGTCCCATCAGTACTTACTCTCACACGGTCAATGTTACTGAGAGTTTCTGGAAATACTGTTAACAATACTGATCGTGTGAGGCCCGCTTTATTTTACATTCAATGGCTCTCTAATATTGTCTACAATTTTTTTTTCTAGATCTATCACGAGGACGAATTCGAATGCTCCGACGTCTGTGAATGTGAAATAGGTGAAAAACTCACATGCCGCACCATCTGCATAGACAGGATGCCTTGCAAGACGGAGTTTGCTTTCTACAATCATGCAGCACCGGCTTACCAAGCTTTCAGGGGAAGATGCCTGTGCTATTCGGGCAGGTTCATATGCATGAAACCGTCACCAACTGACTACTCGCTGCCGCATGGTGTCTTCCTCTTTCTGGGTTATAGTGAGGTGGATGAGAGGGAGTTGAATAGGAATCACACGACTCATTTGGTGGTAATTCAGGATGTTGTGAGGGTGTTGCAGAACTATGTAAGGGAGGAGGCGGATAAGAAAAATGGGGTAAGTTAAAAAATTGCTGGTTTCAGTGAACTATCCAAACGAAAATTTCTTTTAGAAAATGAAGACTATATTACCTTAAAATGAACTTCTTAGGTTATTTCAATAAAGTCTGATGTGAAAAAAAAACATGTTTCCTTTAAAAATTTTTGTATTTTATTTTCTAACAGAATGTTCCCGGATTGTCTTTACAAGAGGAAAAACTTTTTTACTATTGAGATTTTGAGAAAAGTGCATTCTCCATAAGAATTTTTGCTTGTTCTAAAATGGTAATACTGTTTATACTTTTCCAAATTTCCATACCGTTTTAAAGGAAATTAAAAAAACTTTTTTAAAAAATATAGTTGAAGTTTTCTCAAGTCCTAAAAATCAAAACGCGTTTCTATGGTAATATAATTTCATTTTCATTCTTTGATAGATTTTTATTTATAAAATTTTCACTTACGTCATATTTTTGCTGTTTTAAAATGTTAATGAAGCAGTTAACATTTATTTAGTTCAATGTTACGGAAAAAGTGGTAATAGTTATCGAAAAATTTCATACTTTAACAACAGCGAAAAATATGACATTAATCAAATTTTATAATAACCTTATATAATCATTTTGCGGTTGCTAAGCACAACCGCAAACAAAAGAGAAATAATTTTCTCTTGTCCATATTATCTCTTATCAAAGTTAGATTCTTCAAAAATTATAAAATCTTTCAAAATCTAAACCGCCCTCATTGAAAAAATTCCAAAAAGTGTTTAAAGTTAATTTTCAAAGTTATTATTGCTATCTTGTGGGTTTCATTTAAGTTTTATTTACTCAAACCCGTGATAATTGTGAAAAAGTAGCATTAAAAACTTAAAAAGCTGTGCTGTGAACTGTGAAACTCTCGATTTTTCTGTTAACAAAATTTTTCAGAAAGTATAGCGGAAATGGCAACAATGTCATTCCTTTTGTCTCTGTCATGTGTTAAAATTTCTCTGTAACGTCAAAGATGCGTCAAATAGTACTAAAATTAACTGTCAAACCTACAGCTTCGCCATAGAAAGTATAATTTTGCTGATAATAAAACAATTTATTATTTTTCAGACATTGTGCAGTTTGGAATTTTTTAATGCAACCAGGGAAAATGTGATAATTATAGGAAAAATTTCCGATGACATTGACACAAGTAAAATGACTCCAGCCGAAATCCTTGAAAAAGAAAAGGTAATAATGAAATTTATTTATTTAGGCTGTATTCCTTTGCAAAACCAGGCGAACCAGACCGATAAACTACGGTAAGAGCGGTTCCTGAAAAACATCGGTTTGATACGGAACGATTTGGTAAAATACTGGAAACGTCAAATGTTGACGTTTTCTAAATTTCAATCCCTCTATTATAAAATTTATCTTTTATGCATTTTTAATGTACTTATTCTCTGTTTTTACGTTTGCTTCTTCTTTTCAATGGAGTTTAATATTGAAAAGTACTTTATTAATAAACTTAAAATCGTTAGACAGCTCCAGTGAAGATTTGCAGGTCCAATATTAAAATAGATCAATAATAAATAAACAAATCTAGTCAATATTTATATATTTATAGCTTACAAAACATTCACGATTTCTTGATGTCTTGTTTTTCATGTTCTCTAAAGGTTCCTGAGTTTAAGAAACAATGGCTGCATGATAAGTTTAAATGGTCCTAAAAAGTCTTTCTATTTAGTTAATGAAATTTATTAATCTTTACTGCCTACCTCCATTGCTTGTGGATGTAAAGACAAAATATTATTACAAATTTTAGAAATTAAACGAGAATTTCACTCGAACTTCCAATATTTGCTTGATTTCTGTCACACAAATGACACTGATTGACAAACAAAACCAGAAAAACCAGCCTTCTCGCGCTGGTTAGCTTGGTAACAGTTATAACCGAATTTTTCAGGAACCGTGTTCCGTAATAAGAAAACTTTCAGGAAACCGATAGAAACGGAACATAAAACCATAACCAAGGTAAGCAACGGAATACACCCTTAGATGTTAATAACATGTATATTTTTTTTAAATAGGAGGAATGTGCAGAGTACTTGGATCTGGTCAGCGACAGAATCAACTTGCGCCATCCGGAATTCTTATCCCACGTGTTACTTTCCATTTTTAAGATGGCCGAAGTGGAAATCGTACCTCTGGAAACGTCGTCCGCTTGTCACGTCCACAGATCCACATTTTCCACTCTGCTGTCACTTGCCGTTCCCCTCTTAGTCCTAATCAATTATACAAAAACATATCTGACAATTTCGTGACTTTGAGACTGATGAATACATATCACTTTAGCTTAATATACAATTATTAATTAACGATTAGCCATTGAATGAAAGGTCTAAGGAAGGTGTTATCAACAAACTTCGAAAGGTGAGTTTTATGTACAAAAAACTATTTTTGGAACATCCTTGGGAGTGTCTATTAATAACGTGGTACATTTTTGAGGATCTTTTAACTCCCCACAGTAATCTCAGGATAATGAGTTACCGTCAGCGGCTAGAAGTTAGTAGATTTCGACGGTATCTGATGTTTAAATTACAGTATGCCGCCGTTAGATGGCATTTATCTACTAGGCTAAGTCCTTAGAGAAAAATTTAAAAATTATTACTAATACGCCTGATCCCACTTTTAATGCATAAATATAGGGTGTTTTTCAAAAGTGGACTTCTATATCTTTTTCGGTCTTTCAGATAAAAAAACGAGATTTGATGCGTTAGTATGTGACATAAATCAGGGATTGATTGACGTATTCAATTGTTTTCGGTCACTTTCTGTTTCACCGGAAATGATAACAATTTTTGATTTTGAAATGAAAAGCTTCGGTATTTTTTTACTTTATTCGATAGAAAATGACACTCTCAAATGTCAATTTTTGACATTTTAGCATATATAGCCATGGCACTCTACAGTATGTCCCCGGATTGTCTTTACAAGAGGAAAATCTTTTTTATTATTAACATTTTGCGAAAAATGCATTCTTCATAAAAAAAAATTGTTCTAAAATGGTTAATTCCGTTTATACTTTTCCAAATTTCCATACCGTTTTAGAAAAAAATATAAAAAAATGAAATTATGATTGAATTTCCTAAAAATAAAAAATTGTTTCTATGCTAATATAATTTAGATTTCATTCTTTGATAGATGGTTGTTATTAAATTTGATTAATGTCATTTCATGGATCAATGTCAACTTTTCGAAATTTCCATACTGTTTTAAAGAAAATAAAAAAAAAACTTGAAAATGTAGTTGATTATTTATTTTTCCAAGTCCTAAAAATTAAAGGCGTTTCTATGGTAATATAATTTCGATTTCATTCTTCAATAGATCGCTATAATTAATTTTCATTAACGTCATATTTTTTGATGTTGTTAAAAGCTGAGTTCGGCATTGTGCTCTGAGAAATCTAGATAAACAAGGAACAATAAATATAAAGTATTCCAGGGGAAAAAGGAGGAACAACCTGTACCGTCTCTGATATCTGTCAGGGTATTGTTGAAAGTGTGGGTGGGAAAGGTCGATCAAAAAGATTGAAAAGAGACATTTACAACAATACTTTGCCGTAACTTTGACAAATATCAGAGAGACTACAGGTTTTTTCTCTCTTTTCCTCTGGGATGCTTTATATCTGTTGTTCTTTGTTTATCTAGATTTCTCAGAGCATAATGCCGAACACGACTAACGTATCAGATTTTCCGATAAATATTATCACCATTTTCCTAGAACTGAACTAAATAAATTTTGTGCTTCTTTAAAATTTTAAAACAGTAAAAAATATGACGTTAATTAAAATTCTGTTAATAATGATCTATCAAAGAATGAAAAAGAAATTATATTACCATTGAAACGCGTTTTGATTTGGACAACCATTTGTATATCAACCACATTTTCATGTTTTTTTTCTAATTTTCTCTAAAACGGTATGGAAATTTGGAAAAATTTAAACGGGATTAACCATTTCAGAACAAGCAAAAAATTTTATGAAGAATGCATTTTTCTCAAAATGTCAATAATAAAAATATTTTTCCTCTTGTAAAGACAATCTGGGGACATACTGTAGACTGAAATTTAAAATACGATTTTTAAGCGAAAATGTCAAACGTTGACTTGTGATATGTCATTCTATTCAGAGTCTCATTTTTTGTCGAATAAAGTAAAAATATACAGGGGATTCCATTTATAAATCAAAAGCTGTATCCGGTCAAAATCATTTCCGGTGACCCCAAAAAAAAATTGAATACGTCAATCAATCCTAGTTTATGTTAAACAGACCAAATCTCGGTTTTTATCTAAAAAAATAATAATTTATAGGGGTCAGTTACTTTCGAGAAACACCCGGTATACTAACAATACCGCCGGTGGTTGTTTAGGCAGTGTGAAAAGAAATATTTAGAAATGATTACTTTACGCTGATCCCTTCTTTAATGTATAAATATAACTTTGTTTAATTACTTTCTTAGATTTTTTATTCAACGGCATTAGGGTGTCTTTGAAACACTTGCTATAGGTAATTATTACCGATCAACCACTCTATGTATATAAAATTATTGTTGACTATTATTGTTACTGTTAACATTAGACTACATTAGTCGTCGACTGTGTCGTTTCAAAGGCATTGCTCAGATCTTTAGGTAAATTTATAAGGAACAAACGTGTTTTGTCCTGTATTTTGTAATCGCTTTTCGACATGTAGAGAATATCTGGAAATGTCTTCCTCGGATACGAGATTCTTGTTGTCTCTCCAACAGGTTAGAATAAATAGATGTAGATGTAGAATTTATACAGTATGTCCTCGGATAATTTTTACAAGAAGAAAAACTTTTTTATTATTAACATTTTGAGAAAAATGCATTCTTCATGTAAGTGTTTGCGTGTTCTAAAATTGCTAATCTTGTTTATAGCTTTGAATAAGAAGACTAAGGAAGGAGCATAATGCTATCCATGTATTCATGCATGGTGGGCGGAAAAAGCGCCATAAAAGCACTCTAGGGTGGGGATCCTTGACAGTTCTGTTTGACGATTCATTTGACACATTTGAATTTGATTTGAAATTTTGTGGATTTGTCAGTCTTTACGGAGCTTATTTTATGTTATTTATTATTTATTCTACTACTGATAGTTGTATAAAGGTAGTAAATCTAGATGGAAATTGTGACAGAACTGAAATTAACAGTGACACTATCGCGATTTATCGAAAAAGACTCTAAAATGGTTGTGTAGCGTGCGGTAGATCTCGGCAAAAATTGAGTGAAATAATGGAACAACTTTTCGCTAGTAAGTGACTATATAATATACATACGTGTAGTAAACTGATCATTTATGAAATTCACTTAAATTAACTAAATTATATATTTTTCTTGCATTTTAGCTTTTATTTATTACTTGTCAAAGATTAGATGTCAAAGAATTTAGATACGTTAATTTGACTTACCTGCTTCAGTAGCGTATCGGATGTTTGTGGTAATAAATACTTATTATAACTTATCTATTTTTATTAGAATTATATATTTTTATTACAATTTTAATAACTACCAACATTTATTCACAACGTAAAATAAAACAACAAATTATTGAGTCTACCCCACGTCTACCCTACATCATAGTTTTACATTTTTTAAATAAAATTAGAACGACACTGATAAACCGGAAAGTCGGCCATATTTGAGGCCCATCGCGGTGTACCTAAGATTTGTGATATGCTCCTTCCTTAGGCCGGGTCCACATATGTAGCATCTTTGTGTATCATATCTCCGTCGCGTTGCACCAACATGTATCATAATCGCTAGTTTGGACGCCGAATTAACGCGATCATATGGTACACCTTTGTGATACCGTATCTGATACATGCCAATCCGAATTTTGACGCGTATCTTAACAGTGCGTATCGGATACACGTATCACGATCTGTCATTTCGACGTGTTTTGATACAGTATAACGATACAATTGACTTGATACGCCGTGACCCGTCTTGAGGCGGTTTTTCTCCGATCATCAAAGGGGCATCGAAGGTTCACTGACAAGTTCGTACGCGATTGATGTCGATTGCCGCATTTGGTAACTACCATGCACTGAGTGTACACGCTTTTACTATGAGTTGGGATAACGAAAGTGTATTATAAAACTGATTGATGCGTACAGAGGGAAAGAATTTTTGTGGAATCCCACTCACAGGAATTACTACAATAGATTATTAAAAAAAAGATGCTTGGGATGAACAACGACAAACTCTCGTATGCAGTCACGGACGATGACATGATTCAATCACAGCTGACACTGTACTGACCGTTCTGATAATATAAATGAGAGTTGATGAACATGATACACGATACAAGGTAATTTGTTGTATACCGTCCACATACACTGATACGCACGCTTGTATGAATTTTATAAGTATGGACGCTTACTTTGGCACGATATGCATATTCAGTCGACACAGCCCAAATAAACGTCCATACTTACGATACAAGCTCTTGATACGTGATACATGATCCTGATACAATAGAGTGCTACATATGTGGACCCGGCTTTAGTCTTCTTATTCAAAGGTTTATAGGCTTGGTGCATTCTCCGTTGGTGCTGCCACCATCAGAGAATATCGTAATCGGGTTTAAATAGCGAGTATATGACAAATTTATATAATAAAAAAATATATTTTTTGTGAAAATTTTAAAAATAAAAAGTAAATATTTTTATATCTTCAGAAGGTCTAACTTGTATTATAATTTATTACTCCAACTAAAAAAACTCTTTAGATGAGTCCAACTACGGTAGCGAGCATAGTTTTACGCACCGATTTTACGGTGGGTTCATAATTGAGGCAATTTCGGTTATATCGAAATTTCTTAAGGGTACATAATTATAATTTTAGAAGATGTTCATAAAACATTTAATTACTAGTTGATTAAAAAAAAGCATACCATTAATATTGCAAATTATATTTGCGTCTCATATATCGTCTCATACATACATACATACACTAATACACGCATGACCATATTTGTGACAACCGTGCAGTAAAGACATTTGTGGTATCATCTCTATTTTTGTACGAAATGATACGAACTCGCTGTCCACGACCTAAAAATATAATTTATATGTCTATACACTCCACCGTAAGAAAGTTATTGGCATTTATTAATTGTGGAAACCTGTTCTACAAATATTATAATTTTAGAATGTGTATTTGTGCTACCACAAATACCTTGCACCATAAAAGTGTGTAATATAGATACCACAAATATACAAATTTCAACTTCCTGTAAAAAGGACT